TTACTGCTTCTCTTCCCATCACTATAGTAATTGCTAATGTCCCCCAAGTCTGTGCAAGGTTCTGTTTGAAAAATGCAAAATCTTAGGCAGTTGCTGAGTTTTTATGGCTTCATTATGTAGTCCAAATACAGGAGATAGTGACCAGTGTTCTGTTGGTAGAGGCCAACCATTGAACCAAAGACCAGGCGATTGAAGTGAGAAGTTGGATGAAGGGGACATGTTCAATGCTTTAAAATTTTATGCCAATTTTAATATGTAACTTTAAAATTGTGAAACATAAAATATACTGGTAAAGTCCTACCATATACATAATTTCAATGCATGTGAATTCTCCACACAAACTTCCAAATCATCAAGAATCACATAATCCCAGAGGTGGCAAGGCCAGTGAATTAACTGGGTTCATGTTATTGCTGCACAATTTCAGGGGCTTGACAGAAATGCCCACCCACCATTGACAGACTCAGTCTTGAATCCATTAAGAGCTTCAGGAAGCCATCTCTCACAGAAAGTTTGAACCCTCCTTTCTAAATGGCTTCTACTGTAATAATCACATGATCTCTAGCCTACATCATTATGACCTACCTAAGATCAACCTTCTATGCTCCATCTTCATGTAAATATGAACCATTTCCCAACAGAAAACAAATTATTCCTTAGGCCCATAGGCATTTTAGATCATATATGGTGATGTTGACATAAAACCAAAGTGTTCATTTACTTTGATCAAAATTCTCACATTGTCCAGGCGTTTCACTACAACAGGCTGAATGTTTTCACAAGTGCCTGAACTGATCATAGATTATGATCTCAAGTCAGCATAAAGAAAGAAGGTGGGGGGGCTTTTGGAATTTTAAGACTTTCTCCTATTCCTGCCACCTTCCTTCCTCACAACACCCAACCCAGTTTTTGCTTAAGCCAATTTTGACACTTTCTGCCTCATTGGGAGCCCAAGCTAAAGGACATAGCAGTCAGAACAAAATGTAACAAAAGTCCAAGGGGTTATTTTCTGCAAAGAACAATGAATTGGGGTTCAGTTTGTAATTTGAAAGCCCTAGCTCAACTTGGAATGTTGTAGAATGTAGCTGTTAAATCCATTACCCAAGCCCCCAGTTTTGAAGGCTATGCTTCTAGCTCCAAGATTGCAAAATCTCAAGCGTGTGGCAAGCATCTTGCTTCTTCCTGCTTAAGCAACTCCACATTACTCTAAAATTAAATTCTAATGGAAATCTCTGAGAACTACTGAAAGCCTTTGGTTATGGTAGAAAATGAGGAAAATTATTGTGATCAACTAAGGAATTAACCTATTTTTCCCCAAAAGCACAGGAAATGTATTCATACACACACACACAAAAAAGTCCCTGAGGGCTTTAGATAAAATGAAAAAAGTTTCCTGAATAATAGAGGTTATATTTTTTAAAACTATAAATCTGAACAACTATTTTTTTTTTCTTGTGAATGGCTAGTAGGTTTAGCTGAGTATGGTATAAATTTGCAATTATCTTCAAAGGAATTTATATTAATTTTGTTATGGGCATAAAGAAAATAGTAGTGAGCCATGTGAATCGAGCTGAATATGTAGTGGATTCCAGAAAGAAAAATGTTTTCTTTATGTCATTAATAGAAAATGTCCTGTTCTTGATAGTTTAAAAAGCTTTTTCTTTACTAATGAGGTCATATACTACAGAGTCTAACTTTTATATTTGTGACTTTCTCTAGGGTATTTTTAATAGCCTGTGTCCAAAATGTAACTTAGGAACTAAAGTGTGAACAGAAGAAATAAAGAAAAACAAGAGAGAGAATGAAGGGAAGGGTGATATCCTACAGTGTTTTCTGTGGAAGTTTAGCCAGTCGACCTAACTGTACAGGAATAGTATGGTATAGTTCCCTTGGGCACAGAGTTTCATTTGAAAACCCATTCTAGAACTTCTCTCACAGGTTTCAGGGAGCTTCATAAAATAAGGCAACCTGATGCTCTTTGCAGCTGTAACAATGTGCTTAATTTAGGGTGGAGTTCTGTAAGGGTCTATTCACAGGTTTTTCATGAATCGCTCTCAAAGATCCGTAAACCCTTGAAATTGCATAGACACATTTTTTGACTATCCATATGTGTGTTTATTTTTCTGGAGAAAGGGCCACTAGCTTTCATCAGATTCACAAAAGTATTCAGAGACCCTTGTCTCCAAAAAATTAGGCTAAGAACCACTGCTTTTGTTCATCACTGATTATTTGATACCATTTTCCTTTCTCAGAAACAAAGGTGTGTGTATGTGTGTGTGTGTGTGTGTGTGTGTGTGTGTGTGTGTCTTGACAGGAAGACTTAATGTTACCATATTCTGGCAGGTTTAGTTTACATGAAGTATGATTAGATATAGCCTCATTCTCTACCTCCCATAACTATGAAATTCAAAAGTACTTTGTTTTAGACTATAAGAGCTTTTGTTGTCTATGGAACAAATTTCCATGTATCATCACTGTAGGAAATGGAAGAGAATTTGGAGGCCAGATATATTCAGTACTTTTGAAAAGGGAGATTCTATCTTGATACTTCATCCAATTTTTAGCACTGGGTCATAATATTATAGCAATAATATGAGTTAATATAGTTGTTCTCATCCTTGTAACCGATAATGGCTTCATTCTAAATATAGGAAATTTGATCATCTAAAATGTTTCTCTGTTTCTAGGGGTTACAACAATTTGGTACAGTGATAAATTCATTGATATGAAATCATTTGACAGTTTATTGCTCTCAGGTCATGCTATGAAAATTGATCCTTTGCACCTTTGTATCCTCTCAAAGGGAAGAGATGTTTCCAACCATCTTGCCTATTGTCTGGTAGATTGTAGATGATTGGAAATTCTAGAAGGCCCATTCTAAGACTTCTTTCTCCATGAGAACGTTGAGTGGATCATGATTGGTCTGTGATTTGGAATAAAGATTCCACTGACAGAATCAGTGCCCAAGATCAGAATTTGGCAAATGCCTCTCTTGGAAGATCCTAGAATGAGTCTAAATAAATCATTTGGTATAAAACAGCAAACACAGTGTACTGTTCCTTGATATGAAGCAATACAGTAGCATGTACTAGCACAAGGAAAAGGGAAAAATTAAATAGCTCAGTTCTTTGGGAAATACCTCATAAAATAATTTTAAACATTGGAAAAGAGACCCTTTTCCAACGCATACTAAAATACAAATCCACGTAGGGGTGGGTATTTCCTATGTCAGCAAGTTCTCTTCCAAAAGCAGTGTGCTGTATTAACATTTCAAGTTAGCCCTTAATTTTCAAAGAGCCTTTCAACAGAATTTACTTACTCCTCATGATCAGCAGAGGGGAAAATGTCTCCTTCATAGACATGTAGAGTTTTAAAGGGACATTTTGTCTGAATCATTAAGGGCCTTTGAACCAAAGGGGAGCAGCACTGATCTTTCTCTTCCTTCTCCTTGGATTTGAAGGAGGAATTCTCAAACCTTTTCCATCCACAGAAACATCGAATGGCACCACAGGTCAGCCCTCTCTTCTAATTCCCTCTGGAGCACAGAAAGAAATCCTGGGACCCACAATTGTCATTTTCTTACATTTTTAAAATGTTGATTTAAAAACAGCACCCATTTTTGTGTAACTGACATTTTGGGCATTCCTTTAAGATGAAAATCAAATCATCAAAAACACTGACTTAGAAAAGAGAAGCCCCCAGGATACTGATAATACTGTAGAAGTGTAACAGGGCACCCAATTCAAATACAATCTCTTATTAATGGAGCAAGAAACAAAACCTCATACTATTATTTCTCACAGGGCAGCAGGTTCTGGATAAAAGAAAAAAAAAAAACACAGCAGGAAGGGGAAAGGGAAAAACTGAGATGACTAAAGCCTTTTTTTTTTTTTAGTTCGTATTTACAGAAGTGGTACAGAATCTTGATTATTTCTTTTTTAAGATAACTGCTCTGTACAAAACCATCTCATTTTTATGGTACTGCTCAATTCCTTAACTATTCTGGGAAGGTGAAGAGTGAGAAAATGCAGATTGATACCAAAATGAGCACAAGATGTTATCCGGTGAACCATGATGACCCTTGAGAGGTCACTTGAAAATGAACTTCTTTTTCATCGTGTCTCATTGGACATTCATTTTTAATACTCATCTTTAATATGTTAGGTTGAACCCCACATGAGTATTGATGTTAGGGCAATTTTTAGGTCTTCTAGCTCACCATTAATAACTCAAATACTTTAGAAAAGGTCTGTGACACCCCAGAATTCAACAACTGAATTCAACCACTGTTTCCGGACCACCCACCATGTGCCTGGTGCCTTGCTCAGTGGTGAAGGACACAGTAATGGCAGGCGGCAGATGGCAGATGCCATGTCTTCTGGGTTCTTTATCATGACTGTTATGCTGTTAAGAACCCATAATCAAGCGGATCATTTATGGTCAGATATAGATAGACCCCTAATGTAGCCAGCAGTTGACTCAACAAGTGCATATATGCCCCCAGCTGATTTTGATAGTCTTTAATAAAGTGAACCATTCAGATGTTTTCTTAGCACTGTGATGACATCAGGGATCTGGCCTGCTTTAAATTCCCATTTTTCACATAAGAAACTGAACCACTAGGTACATAGGAGACTTGCTTAAGGTCACATTTAGCTTCCAGTCTTTGGCTGCTGGCTCAAGGCTTGATCTACTAACCTTCCTTCCTCTCCTTCCTCACCCTATGCACCCCACCCCCAGTAAAGTATGGCAGTGGGTCCCTTCACCGGCCCCAGCACCCCGGGAGCTCTGGGGAGAGGGCAAAGTCAGATAGACTCTGGTGGGAAGATTCTGTGAAAGGAAGCAATTCTTGCTCCATATTTTATCCCTTCATATGTTGTGATCTCCCCCGTGCTCAGTAATTTTAGTTTGTGCTTTTTGTTTCCCTTTTTGTTTCTTTGGTTTGCTGGCTTTGTGTTCTTTTCTCTTTTTTTCCCTTTTCTTTTCCTTTTTTAATGCAGGAATTGGTCAAGGAGTTCCGGTGGTGGCACTTATTGTGGAAGGAGGACCCAATGTGATCTCGATTGTCTTGGAGTACCTTCGAGACACCCCTCCCGTGCCTGTTGTTGTCTGTGATGGGAGTGGACGGGCATCTGACATCCTGGCATTTGGGCATAAATACTCAGAAGAAGGCGGGTAGGTAATTGGCCAGGCCCTATAAGAAACCTTTGAGTACAAAGCTGTGTTCCAAGCTCGGGAAGATGGTATCAGTTGATGGAGACATTTGGTCTGGGAAGGTGGTGGGAAAGGGCAGGGGAATATATTCTAGATGTCCTATGAAGTGAGAAATTCTTTGAAAGCTCCACTAGACTAGACTAATAAGGAAGACAAAAGGGAAGGAGGGGTCATAGCACTTGGTATCCTTTCTCTTCATTTCTTCTCTCTTCTGCTCCTCCTACTAAGGAGAAGCAGGGACTGGGTTTGAACACATAAAGCACAGCGAATCCGGACCCTATGGTTCATGTGAGTACCTTGGGAGAAGCTGGAATGTGCAGCTTCCAGGCTCAGTTGCCGAACACCAGCTTCACCAAACTGCTGTATGTTTACAAAGGCCAAATTTTTACCAAAACTTTGGGTGGCCTGTGCTGTCAAATCCTTCTAGATCAGCTCAGAAAGCAGAGCCTCTAACCACTCTGTACACCCTTACTGGATTCCACCCCCGCCCCCATGCATTTTCCTTGGTCTGTCTATCCCCTACTGCTATTTTTAACAGTCCAAAGCCCCAACCCCAAGGAGGACTTCTCTTCCCAACCTTCCCTGCCAATCTGAGGTCCCACCCAGTGAATGGTAAAATCCAAGCACTCATGCATATTAGTAGATCAAAGTAATTCATCCCAAGGTGTGAATGAGTTTAAGGAGGAAAACTCAGGAGGAGTCATTGAATTTTTATTTTTTTAACTTTTTTAAAAGTTTTTATTTATTTAAGTAATCTCTTCACCCAACATGGGGCTCGAACTCATGACCCCAAAATTAAGAGTTGCCTGCTCTTCTGACTGAGCCAGCCAGGCACCCCTGGTCATTAACTTTTTAAATAAGGAACTTCCTCACCTAATCAATTCTCCTAACCCATGACCCTGGTGAGAGAAAGGAGCCCCAAAGGAGATGAGATCTTTTATTCATCCCATTTTACAAACATACACAAAGTGCCTACTGGGGGCCATGCACCAAGATGGGAAAAAGCACACCAACTCTTCCTACCCTCAAATAGCTCCTAGGAAGTCTAGTAAGTAGACAAGCGTGTAATGATAATAGTGAGCGACCGGTGAGCTTGCGGACTACAGGACATTCCCTGCCCTGCCTGTCGGCCAGGTAGCCATTAACACAGGCACCCTGCCTGGGCAAGTGTGTGGACCTAAATATAGGAGAGTCACGGGCCCTCCAGCTAACACTGCAAACAGTTAACAGTGATTTCAGGTCCCCTGATAAAAGCTTTTGATATGAAAACAAAAACAAAAACAAAAAACCAATATTCCTAAGCATGAAATTGGAGTTTGCTTCCTGGCAAATTTAAATGACTTTTATCTTCTCCTTTCATTGTAAATATCGGTCCATTCTCTAGCTAAAAAGCTGAAAAGAACATTTGCCCAAACGCCTCCATGTTGGTTACTAACCAGAGCTCAGGATCCTCAACTGTGCTTGGCTTTTATTAAAAATTTAGCCATAGTTCTTATCAATTTAAATAGAACAACGTGTTCCTTTTTCAAACATAACTGAAGAACTTACACAGTTTTTGCTTTGGCTTACTTTTTGGCTTCCCAGTTCTTGTAATTATTTTATTGTGTTTCCACAAAGTAGATACAAGGTTGCATTCAGAATGCACATTTCCTTTTCAGAAAATTCATGGAAAAGTGAGCTGTTCATCTCAGTATTTCAGGTTTTCTAGGTCTGTACACAATGAAGGTCTCGACCCAGGGCCTCCTTTTTGTCCTTATTGTGGGTTGTATACTTTGAAAATGTTACGATTTTTGATTAGTTGCTCTTCCTGATTCTGTTTTTTCATACAGGGGAAATATTACACATTTTGGAGCTTGGGTGGAGGGGCAGGGTCTCTATATTATTTAACTGAGGGGACAGAGATACACAGAGCAATTATGTGCTTGCCCATGATCCCAGGCCAGGATTTTTTCTGGTCTAATATAAAAATTTGCTGAAATGGATTTTGTGGTATGTGCCTTCATGCTTTTTATATAGTACTTCAATGATACACTGTTGTTTGAATATAAGTTCCTTTTAGCTTCCCCTTTGCTTACAATTTCTTAATTTTTTGTATTATTTCACGCATTCCCAAAAAGATAAAATCAATGCATTCCTGGTTGTAAACAGTCCAGGCTGACCAGTGTGGGTTCCTTTTCTTTTTCCCCTTTCTTTTTTTTAAGTTTTTTTAAAACTTTTTATTTAAATTCTAGTTAACACACAGTATATTAGTTTCAGGTGTCATGTAGATTTTTTTTTTCCTTTTCCCAATCCAGTCCCAAATTAAGAGTCAGAAATACCATGCCCTTTTAACTTTAATTAGCAATTTTCGTTTTAAAACCAAAATTTGTTTTAGTTCTGACTATTTTATGACCAAAATATGCAAAAGCACAATCTATATGGGATCTGTGCAAATATATAAACCATGGTTGATTATCAAAGAATTAACTAGCGTGAACATAAAGAATTGAGATATAATTTCTTCCCTTGGGAATTCTTGAAATTAAAACTTTAAATATTTTAAGAAACATTTAGAAACCATGATTAAGAAAGTAGAAACTTCAAGAGAAGCTTTGTAATTGCCAATCCAAATATATAAATCTACATTTATTTATTTTATAGGCTGTTACGATAAAAGTAAACTCTTGCTCTAGGAAAGCAATTATAAATTTATCCTGATCCAATGAATTCATGACATTTCTCTGTGTCATCTGAATTGCTGCCAGAATTAATCATGTTTACTTAGCTTGAATAAGAAGTTGTCTAGCCACACATGTGCAGCCGATTTAAAAAAGCATTTCCAAAGAACACTATTTTGCAGGAGTGTGTTTTCTTTACGCTTAAAAAAAAAAAAGATGAACCCATCCCAGACTTCATTCACCAAGAATTTCTTCTTTAATTCCCAAAAAGTCCAACAGATTTGGGACATGTTTCACTACAAATAAATATAAATGTATAACTATATGTTCATATAAACAAACCTATATAAATAAAGGGGTATAATTGTACATATAAAATTGGTTATAGAAAACACACACACCTTGTTTACAAAACCTGAATCAGAGTTTGGAATCATTGATTTTTACTTTTTGGTTATTTTGGTAATTTAAATATGCTTTAAAATGTTTTAAACTCATTTACAGATGGTTAAATAAATAATACAGGTCCAAGGACTCATAAATGTGTATATTCAGCTCTAAAGCTTTTCATTTTATAATCTTAAAGAAGTGAATGAAATTTACACACCTTCTATTTTAACTTCTGTGAACTTGATATTTTGCCTTTAAATTCCCTATTATTAACCATCTTCCAAGAATATGAATTTGAAAGGGCATCACTTTGGAAGCAAACTATAATTGGCAAAACTAATTAACTTTTGTAGATGAGATTACTTGAGGTAGGGGAATTCAGGCCGCATCTATCCCAACACAAATGGGTTTGGATAAACTAGGAGGCATTTGCAATTAAATTCTTACCTTTGCCTTCTCCTCTGTCTCTGCTCCATGGCACAAGCCCCCCAGAAGAAATGGCCAAACTCTCTCTTTCCCTTATTGTCATACTAAAGTTTCTATTTCTCATCAAAGTTTAAAATGAGTCACAAGTCACTCTCCCTAACTAATTTCATTCCTTAAAAATCTTACCAAATTTTCTTTTCTGAATCATGCATGACTAAATACTGCAAACAGAAACAGATTAATGCCACCTAAGGGGCATTAGATTTGATTACCTACATTTTCAAATACCAACATTCCGCTTTTTGCTGCTGACCAAGCAAGCCGACCAACATCACCCATTGTCAGGGATACCTTTCAGGTGATAGGTGCCTGCAGTCGAAGTCAGAGACTGCTTGAAAATTCATAATCTAAGTTTCAGATTGCAGAGAAACGTGGTCTAGCTCCTCATTTATCAGTGAGAAAGTGCCACATGGATGAAAAATGTCAGCGTGAAAAAGCATCTGAATGAATGTGCATTCTGAGATGATGCTCCTCATTCATCTGGATTTTATTGCCGAGCCTTATATTTATTTTGGTGTCTTTTTCCCCATAAGTTATTATATGGATTTACCATTTTTAGAGAGCCCAGGATGAGAAGCAGAACCTGTGGTAGCAGAAAGCCTTAAAGATCTTAAGTAGTCTGTTGATAACTTTTGGGAAGTTATCAATGGGGCCAAACACCAGTAGACTCTTCCCATTCTTATGTGTCAGTGGAATTGTATTAGATATTGTGGAGAAACACTGAGGAATGGCCTGATCTTGAGGACAGGAATAGATTTTTAAAAATCAAATAAATCAAATAAAATCTCATTTTCCCTGTTTAAAGGGAGCTTAATAAAGGTTTTTTGATTAGCTGAGGTAAAGGCATAAATGGAAGACAAAGTGAAGATGAATAAGGAAAAATAGGTTGCATGGCTTCACATTATATCACTGTATTCTAGCACAGATGTAACAAAAGTGTGTTTCTTTCTGAGTATACGTCAAAATGACCAAAATCAGGAGGAAGTCGCCAGAAAATTAGCCATTTTAGAAATCCAGGTGGTAGTCTGCATTCTCTAGGGCATATCACTCTATGCAGTGGTTACTAATGCTTTCTTCTGCTGCTTGAAATTTCCATCTGAGGCTGAACGATGTCACAGCCCTATCAATTTGTCTCTATGAGATCTGCTGAAAGGAAGTAATTGATCTCAGTGGTTTGTATCCCAGTATGATTTAGACATAATTGGAATGTCAAGTGAGAAAGAAGGAAACAAATATCCAGCATGCTGACTTCAAGTGTCCATTTCAGTTTCCATTAATTTCATCTTACCTTGTCTCTTTTCTAGATTTGCCATAAGAAATTAGCATGTCAAAACTTGATTCTGTTTTGTATCTTCCCCAGAAGGAAGGAAAGAAAGTTGGAAACGTCTTGTGCAGACAAAGGCTGTTGGGGGCTTTATTTATAAAAAG